GTTAATTCTGGGTAAGACCATCATTTTAATTGAGGCTACCCTACCCATAAGGGAGATCGGAAATGATTTCCATCTTTCTAGGTCCTCTTCTATTTTTTTTTAAAGGGAAGAGTTTTGGTAACTCAGCTAATTTAGATGACACAGTAATTCCCAAATATTTAATATTCCCTGATTGCAATTGTAGACCTGAGGGATTCTGTAGAGAGCAGCTTGAGTTTGAAGGGTGAGGACTAGAGCTGGGTGTTTTCGCCAAAGTCCTAAATCGAATAAATTTAGATTCATACAGTTCTAAATCGATTAATTTTGATTCAATCTGTTTTTACAATAATGAAAATGGTTAAACTGTGTTTTAAAATACACATTTATTTTATTTTTTCCTGTCATATTAAACACAAAGTGCAAACGTATAAATCAGACAGTTGAAACTTGTGAACAAAGTACAAACTTGTTTGTGAAAAGTGAAAAAGTGAAGCATCACATGAGCAAGCAGACGTGACACAGCGGGGAATCAGCTGACATGCATGAGCTGCATTATCTTCACTGAACAAACCCTATTTGTGCAGATAAGGCCCCATCTGTTGATGTCTTCAGTCAACCTATTTGCTATGTTTACAGCTGACTGGCTTGAAGTAATCTTTGTGGTCTGTAGCACGAGATGTGAGGCACATTATCTTTAAATCCAAAATGGTTCCAGACATTGAGTTGGGACAGCTTGCTGAGCCGCGTGTTACTTGGGTCGGCATTTGCACATGCCTGTCATTTGAATGTGAACGTCACTCCCATCTCTATAAAACTAATCGTTCTCATTTCCTACACATCAATTCTGCAAAAATCTAAAGGAATCAAACCAAAATCGATTAAATCAATATTTTTACCCAGCGCTAATGTGGACTGTGGTGCATGGGGTTGAAAGCTGTGCAGATTGTGACACAACAGTGTTATAATCCATCTGAGTCCTAATGTATTTCACCATCAACTGAAGCCGCCTGTTGTCCTCCTGCAATTCCTGCATCATGTTTGTGAACTCATACGGGAGGCTGGTTAATACTGGTGTCTGTGCAACTGGTCCATTACAGCTAGGAGTTTGGGTTAGAGGCAGAGGTGTCAAAAGTTCACACATTTGTTACCATACCATACCATACCAACTTTATTTATGAAGCACTTTATGCACCGGACAGGACCAAAGTGCTGTACACAATCATAAAATACAATAAAATTATAAAATAGGAAAAAAATAAACGAGTGTAAAATACATATTAGTATACAAAGAGAATAAAACAAAGTGAGACCTCTCAAATTGTGCCAAAAGCCAAGGAAAAAAAGATGAGTCTTAAGAAGGGACTTAAAAACAGCCAGAGAAGAGGCCTGTCTTATGCTCAGAGGCAGATCATTCCACAGCTTAGGAGCTGCCACAGAAAAAGCACGGTCTCCTCTGAGCTTGCATTTTGTCTTTGGGACTCTCAGAAGCAACTGATCAGCTGACCTGAGGGAACGGGAGGGTGTATAAGAATGCAACAGCTCAGACAGATGAGGAGGGGAAAGGCCGTTAAGAATTTTAAAAACAAATAAAATAATTTCAAAATCAATCCTAAAATGTACTAGCAGCCAGTGTAAGGAAGCTAAAACAGGGGAAATGTGGTCGAATTTTCGTGTATCTGTTAAAAGACGTGCAGCAGCATTTGGAACCCTCTGAAATTGGGAAATATACAAACCACTGACCCCTGTATAAAGTGAGTTACAGTAATCCAGCCGTGTGGTCACAAATGCATGGATCACTGTTTCAAAATGTTGTTTTGAAAGAATGGGTTTTAATTTGGCTAGCTGCCTTAAGTGGAAAAAGCTGGACTTTATAACGCCTCTGATGTTTGCTGCCATCTTAAGACCAG